TATTGTACTTTAAGTAAGAAAGTATATAACAATTTTGATTGGATTATTTTCTTTTAGATCTCTTTTAGCTTAGATCTGAATACTTTTAAATAATAAAAATAATTATAAGTTATAAAATTAAAACTTATTTATATCATATTTTATCTTTTTTACAATCATTAACAAAATAATTTTACAATTATAAAATATATTATTTATTAAGATTATAAAAATAGCTGATATATTAATAAGATTAAAAAATAAAACTAAGAATTTATAATATTTATAATGAATTTTAAATATTATTTTATAAATATCTTCTTCTATTATATAAATTTGATAATATTTTGAATATAAATCTAATTTTAAAATATATTTTAATTTTATAAGCCTAACTATAAGTTTATTAACTCTTAATAAAGAATAACAATTCTTAATTATGATTTTATTTAAGATTCTATAGTTTATATATAATTTTAATATATTTTCTTTCTTATATATAAATAAAACTGATATTTCAAAGAATAAGATACTTAAAATAAATAAAATTTTTCTAAAAAAGATTAGCTAATTACTTTTTGAGCTTATCTATCTTTATAAATAAAAGTTTATAAGTAGATTTAAATAGTAATTCAGATTCTGAAATGAGATTAATTTTGTGATTAATTATTTTTTTGAATAATAGTTAATTTAATAAGATTTTTAAAAATATATTTTTATATTTACTTTTAATTTCTAATACTTCTGATCTTAGTTATTTTTCTTTAGCTTTTATTAAAAATATCTTTTATAATAATTTTTAATCTTTATAAAAAGTATATCCAAAATTATAAGAAAAAATTTTAATCAAAAAAAGTAATTATGTTACAGATAATTTTATCTTGGACTTTACAAAAACTAAATATATGATCTGTCAGGCTGAAATATCAGATCAGAAGCATTTTAGGCAGTGCAAGAATATTTTTTTGAAGTTTCTCACTTAGCAAGTAGATGAATTAGCTAAAAAAGATAAAGAGCTAAACTGGACTTTATAGATTAGAATATCAACTATAATTCTATCAGTCTTTATAATAGTAATAGACTCTTATTTTACAATATAATAATCTAAGTATTATTAAAATATATAGTAAAGAGTTCTGTATTTACTAATAGATTAGTAATTTATTATCTTAAAATATATATTAAATTGCAACTTAATTCTGATTTTACTTTATTATCTGCTTGAACTTTGAATTATAAATAAAGATAATAATATTATTTCTCTAATTTATAATGAAATTAATACAAAATAATCAAGATTTATCTAGAATAAGATTATATCTTTATAATTTTATTACTTATATATTTATCTTATATATTCTATATATATTTAACTTAAATTTATTAATCTTTATCATAGTGATGACAATTATTTTTTTATTATTAATAAGTTTAATTATTACTGATATAGTTTTCTGTAACTTGATTTTATTTTTTTGAATAAATTTTTTATTTATAAAGTTTCTTAATATTATTATCTAATAATACTCATACTAATTTACTATTTGCTTAGTCAATAAATTTTAATAATCTCTTATAGTTATCTTCTAGATAAATAAATTTAACTCTTTCATATAACTGAGAAAATTTTTCTTACTTATTTTTAATATTTATTATTTTTATCTTTGATTTAAAATAATAATTCTTAGTAAAGTGATCTAATTTATTATAATTATAATATATTTCTTTAGACTTATTATTTTTCTAATTATAATAATTTTGATTAGATTATCTTTCTTTTGATTTAGATCTTTATTTTGTACTATTTATATTACAGATTAGCTTTGTATTACATTTTTAAGAAAATTATTTTTATTTTGAATATATAATAATTATTATACATTTAATATATTTAACATATTATTATGCAAATAATTACTATATATCTCTATATTATTAATTTAGATAATTAATATTTTTACTTAGATATTTCTTTTAATAATTTTTTATAATTTTATTTATTCTCTTTAATTATTATTTATATTATTATTTATAATTATTTATTATATTATTAATTATTAAATTATAATTTGTTATTCTTTAGAGATACAAATTAAGCTAATTAATTATGTTTAATATATATATATTTTAATTAGAAATTTATTATTAATTTATTCACTTTTTGTATTCATTTCTTTGCTATAAATATAATTTATTTATTTTATACTTTTAATTTTAAATCTAAATACTTTTAAATAATAAAAATAATTATAAGTTATAAAATTAAAACTGTTTATATCATATTTTATCTTATTTATAATTATTAATAAATTAATCTTATAACTTAATAGTAATAAATATAGTTATTACAAAAATTATTCTCTGATATCTTATACTTTATATCATATATACTATATATACTTTATATATACTTTAGTTTTAAAAATTAAATTATTATAAAATAAATTCAGAATAATTTATATAATTTATAGAGAACATGACTGAATTAATCAAAATAGTAAAAAAAGATAGTTTCTCTAATTTTAAATTTATATCTCATCTCTCAGTTAAAATATTAATATACTTAAAAGAATTAAATAAGAATATACTTATCTAAATTATGCAAGTTAAAACTATATTTCAGACTCAAGAAATTATAAATAAGAAGATATAAGTATAATATATTATTATCTCTCTTACTAATATAGTTTTATATTAATATCTAAACAAATATAAAACTAATAATAATATTTATCTTTTGAAACTTGACAAGTTTTTATTATAACTCTTAAAGATATATTTTAATTATCTTATTATTAATGATATCTTTACAAATAATTATTTCTTCTTCACTAATCTAATTTAATATAGAATTATGATATTAAATTCAAAAATATAGTTAGTTAAATAATAGATATAAATAATTTAGATCAAGTTATATTTTTTATAGAAGATTTTAAATCTATTATAAAAATAAAAGTTAATTATCAAATATTAGAAATCTTGAAAAATACTTAAAAGCTAGCTATTTACTTTGATATAGCTATATATAAATAAGAAAGACTCTTAAAAATATCAAATAGATATAATAATAATTATTATTTATAGAATTAATATAAAAGTTATCAGAATAATAACTTTATACTAATAAAATTTTATCAAGTAGAAAGTTATTATAATAATAGAAAGAATAGTAATAATTAAAAGAATAATAAATCAAAAGGTATATATTATAATTGTGATAAACCAGATCACTTTGAAAAAACTATTATTTCAAATCAAAAATCAAAATTATAAATATTATTATAATATAAACTTTTAGTAGAATATTAATTATTTATTATTAGTCACTTCATATCATAATATAATTAGATAAATAATTACTTATATCTTATTAAATATTAGCTTTAGAGAATATTATTTATAGATATTTTTAGAAGATTTTATAAATTAATGATTATAATAAAATTATTATAGCAAAGTTAGCAAAACTATCATAATAAAACTAATAATACTATCATAATAAAATCAATATTATAATACTAGCTAAAGTAATATTTAGATCATAGTAAAAGTAATATAAGTATCATAACAAAAGTATCATTTTTATAAAACTGGATTTTATATTTAAATAAAATCTCAGAAATATTATTAAGCTGATTTATAACAGAGCTAGGTATATTAATAACTTCTCTAGAAGAAATATCTTGGATTTACTATCTGCTCTCCTCATCATTATCTCTTAGTTTTACTACTTTGATCTTAAGCTTAGCAATTATATTATCACATCTAGCATTTTCATAATGGTATCTGCTCTATCCTTTTCTAACTTTTTGATTCTACTCTTAAGCTCAGCCCTTAGCTTCATAATCTCATTCATAATCTCATCATACTTGATCTTAACATTGGCATTCTCAATCTCAAGCCCAGTAATTTTAGTCATAAGTCTGATATTCTCCTGTCTAAGAAAGTTAATCTTAGATTCCATTTTCGAAAGCACTTTTATATACAATAAACAAGCATTCAAATAAAATAATCATGTGATTTTTGATGAACTTTTCATCAAAAAAGTTTGCTGAAATTTTGGAGAAATGACATAGTCTCGTGGAACATACCAATAAAAAGCCCCTGATAGGTCGTGATCCCATATTTATTGATATATTTACATGTGAAAATCTTTATTTAACCCATGATGATCGTATCTCAAAGAGGTATCCTAAAGGGCCTGATATATAAATCATGATGAATTCCTACTATAAAACCATGAAATAAAATCTAGACTATTTATATTATATTGTCGCTTTGTTATACTATTCGGGATCAGACAATGGATCTTCAGTCTTTAATCCATGACACGCTCATCTCAAATCTAAGAATAAAATATTGATAATTAGCCACTATATGTCTGCTTTCGGTAATACTTAGAATAACCCGATCAATTCAACAATAAATGAACTATTTACCGATTCTTCCTCGCCGCTTATCACTAGCCTTATCAGGTATCTCAATTTGACTTTTTTTTGATTTGGCAAGTCGAATCCGGAAGTTCGAATCTTGAGCATTATTCAAGTCTTGATGAGAGATAGTAAGATCACTATGAATGGGAGTGGAGTCGTGCTGATGGTGGAAAAATGTTCCATGAATAAAGTAAACGATGCTGTGCCTTATCCCTTGAGTTACTGGAAAATTCCCGTGCAATAAAAAACACGATGAAAACGCAACGATTTGTCCTGGATGAAGTGGAACGATAATCTGGAGTTGCGGGAAGCATAGTTCACTCCCCCCCTCCCCCTTGCAAATCAATAAAAATAAGTATACGCATCCCCAAATTCCATATGCGAAATGATGATTGATTGTTAAAAAAATATACATATTCGAATATTGTCTTATTGATAGAAGGGCGGGAGACGTGACACGCAAAAAATTAAATGCATGCACGTCACACAGCTCCTATTCTTCGGGCAAGAATTTTCCCGATATCGTACTGCGCATTTCAGGTGATCGATCTCATAACGAATCCGACAACACTACAGTCCCCTTCATCATATCCACTCATCAACCAATTCTGAATTACGTTCATTCTCGGAATCTTCAAACTGAGATCTCCGGCTGAGAAATCTATTGCAATAATTCGATTCCCAGAATCCCAACATTGCCCTGTGTTAGAATGGAATCATACTGTCACTGGGAAATAGACAGACTTTAGCTTGGGATACATGTTAACGTTTCTATGTTACTAATTGCAATCAAAGCCTTGGTCAAAACATCTGAAATCATGTTTTGCAGGAATGCAGTTATTGCAAATTGATTTTTTTATTATTCAAAGCTACATTATTATCTTAAACGCGCTTGTTAGGCTGTGTAAAAATCGAAAAGAAATTTAAGCCATAAAACTAAAATACTAAATTAAGTAGCTAATAATAATCTTCTCTTTCGTAAAATACTAAAATAAGTAGCTAATAATCTTCCCATTTCGTAAAATACTAAATAAGTAGCTAATAATAATCTTCCCATTTCGTAATATACTCATATACAGTTCCATTCTCTTCAAACCATCTCAACTGATCCCCTTTAACTAAGCCTTTCGATGCTTCTTCAGGAGAATTACCAAGTGGCCATAGCATTTGACTCTCATTTTCCCACAAAAAAACACGACCATAGCAGTCTAAAAAGATTATTCCATAATCGGTCTCTCCGATAATAATTATATGATCAAAGCCAAAACCAGCAACACATCTTATATGATAAATTAGTTCTTTAGGATCACTATCAAGAACTTCATAATCAACCAAGGTTGCAATACGAGAATTATCTTTAAATGCATCAACTAAGATGAGCGAATCGTTGCAACGCGACGTTCTTCCTCACATAATTGCACTTGAGACATGGTTGTAGGATTTTCGGCAATTGATTTTCCTTTACTGGTAAAGCGAGCGTCCGCGTGTACAAGCTGACACGTTTTCCGGGGGACAATCTTTTTCCAACCATCGCCCCTCAGGGAACCGACTCTGAGCAGTTTCCCAAAGGATGCCTGCATTTTCCCAATTGTTTCAGTGTTAGGACATCCTTCATATTCTTTGCCCAACGTAATATCTGTATTTTCTCCATCCTTGTATTTACTACCTCCGTTATCACTGATGGCTGACAACGAATCGACGTGAATTTCACATCTTTGCCTTTCCGTTTCGATACTTGATTTGAGTATGTGAAGTTCACTGTTCTCGGACGCAATATTGGATCTGGCTGTATTATCATTATACTCTGTGCTAAGCGATCCTGACTCTCGTATAGATATTTGATTTGTTCCTCTACTGTCATCTTCTTTGAGGGCCGATGTGCGTAACTCCAAAGGAGACTCCAAGCATCGTAAAACGTAATGATTGGTATCGGTTGAAACTTGTCTAGGAATACTATTTTTCCCGTAGGACCGCAAGGTGTCAATTCCCCCTTCGTTCTATATAAAATATGACTTTGAATTCGTTTTTAAAAGCTTCTTTTCCCTGCTCTTTCTCTCCTTACCTGAAAGGCACCACAAACTCTGCAATCAGTTCCTTCTGCCATGGCTCTCTTGAATTGCTTATTAACCAGCTGAATGAACTCTAGAAATAAATATGTAAGTCAAAGAATTCAAACAGACTAATACCAACTATATTCTGACAAACGAAAGCAATGTTTGTGTTCACATGCAGATTTTGTATTTCCGCATATGGACAAAGTTTACAAACACAACTCCCTCATTAGGTTCGACATCTTAATTTGGAATAGTAGTCACAGTACAAGTCGATTATACAAGTTAATTATCAATGTCGATTTTATAGTAATAATGAACGATAAATTTATCTGTATTGATTATAGAAAACTAAATATAATTATCTAAAAAGATGCATATCCATTACCTAAAATTAATAAAATAATAAATTTACTTAGAAATGCTTATTAATTTGCATCTATAGATTTAATCTCTAGATACTGGCAAATTAAAATAAAAGAAGAAGAAAAAACTAAAACCATTTTCATTTCCAGAAAAGAACTTTTTAAATTTAATATCATGCCTTTTGGATTATATAATACTTCAATAACTTTTCAATAAATAATAAATACTGTGTTAGATGATTATAATTGGAACTTTATCAATATGTATATTGATAACTAAAACTCAACTCAGAAAAATATAACTTTTGCAGAAGAGAATTATCTTTTCTTGAACATGTGATAACTAAAGAAGAAATTTTATTGATCTTTCAATTACTCAAAAGATAAAAGATTTTTCTTAATCAAAAACTGTTAAAGAACTTAAATTTTTTCTTAAACTTATTAGATACTATAGAAAATTCATGAAAGAATTTTCTCAAATCACTATATTCTTATTCAAATTACTCTAAAATAAAGAATTATTCATTTGAATAATAGAATAAGAAAAAGCTTTTCAATAAATTAAATAATATCTTATAACTATCTCTATTTTAATTTATTTTAACTTTACAAAAAATTCTATTTCTATATTAATATTTCAAATTTAGGACTTGAAGCTATTTTATCTCAAAAAGATAAAGATGGAAGAGAATAAGTAGTCATATATGTAAGTATTATTTTGAAATCAAATAAATAAAAAAATAAAGTTACTAAAAAAATATTAGTAATAGTATGAACTATTAAATAATTTTGTCATTATATACTTAAAATTATATTTAAAATAATAACTAATCATAATATCTTGAGATAATTATTCAAAAATTAATAAAGTTATTTAGTTAAAGTAAAGATAATATCATAACTTAGTTATAATTCTCTAATTAATTATTATAATTGATTATAATTCTCTGATTAGCTGTCACAAATTATAATTAATTAAGATTATATCTTTAAGCTAGAGTAAATTAATAGATTATATCTTTCATAAAATATATAAAAAATCAAAATACTAATATTTTATTTTAAATATATTTAAAAGATCATTAAGAAATATTTCTCTTTATAATAATAATATAAATTTAATAACTTATTATAATTTACAAAAACTTATAAAATCTATTAGCAAACTGATAGAAAAATTATCAAATAATTTTTATATCCTATCAAAATTAGATAACTCTTTAATAAAATAGTTATAAATCTAATTGAATCTTGTAAATTAATAATATTTAAAAATTGATATATCATTATAGTAATTGATTATCTTATAAAATAATCTGAAGCTAATTAATTTTTAATAAGAAAACTATTATAATTATAAAATTCATTTTTAAAAAAATAATTTGTAGATATAGATATTCTAAAAAAATTTAATTAAATAATAAATTAGAATTTATTTAACAAAATAATTAAGAAATTATTAATAAAATTTAGAATTAAACATAAATTTTTATTATTTTATCATTCAAAAATCAATAAAATAATAGAATACTTTAATAAAATATTATATATAATATTATAAAAATTAATAATAATACATGAATAAGAATGAAATATTTTTATTTTTGTTATTTTTTTTATTTATAGAATAAATTAGAATTTAATAATAAAACATAAACTATTTTTTTTAACTTATAGATAAAATATTAAACTACTAATTAAATTAAAAATTTCTATTAATTTAAAAAATAATTTTACCAAAGAAAAAAAACTATTATAATAAATATATTATATAATAGATTAATTATTTTAATAAATTATAAAAGTAAAATAAAATATAAAAGACAGACTATTACAATATTTTTAAAGATATAATAATAAAATTCAGAAAGAAATAATATTTAAAATTAAAAATAAAGTATATTATTTGATATAAAATAATATTTAATAATTAGAAATAAGTTTTAACTCACTTAAAGTAAAAAATTCATAACAATTAGAAATAAGTTTTAACTCACTTAAAGTAAAAAATTCATAACTATACTAAATATAATTTTTACAAACTTTATATTTAAAATGAAAATATTCTTAAATATTTTATTAATAGAAAATAATTTATATATTATTATAATTACTAAAATTATTTTAAATTACAAATTATTATTAAGTAATTTACATAAATATATCTTTATTCTTATAATATTCATCTTTAAATTTATCTTCTATTATATTTTATTTATCTTAATATTATATTTTTAATAAACTATTAGCTTAAAATTTATATAAATATTCTCTTTCTTCTTCTTATCTTTTTCTTTATTCTTTTATATTTTTTATCTTATATTAAATACATCTTATTTTTATTATCTTTTATCTCTTTATATTACTCTATATTTATTATTTTTATTATTTTATTATGTTTTAATTATCAACTTGAATTTTATCTTAATTATTAAATTTCTTGAAGAGATATATCAAGAAATACTTATTTAATAACTCTTTAAGATAATTATCTTTTTAACCTTTAGATTACTCACTTATAATAATAAAAAACAAGAAACTTATATTTCTTTTTTGAATTTACTTATACAATCTGAATTTACTAAAGATCTTGAAAAAGATAATACTTTTATTTTGAAAACTTAACCAATAATTAAACTTATTAAAATACTCTCAGAACTAGTTAATATAATTATTAACTTAGATTTTAACTAGTTAAATATATTTATTATTACTATTTCAAAAGATAAATCTAAAATTATTATTAAAAAAATTACTAAAGAAGAAATAAAATTTGTAAATTCTAATAGTTTAATTATTTTTGAAAAAAAATCTGAATTTCTTATTATTATATTTAAAAAAAATTAAATCTATATTTGAAAAAAACTGGTTGATTAAGCTCAAAAAAATAATACTTATTATTTATAATTAATCACTTACTAATAATAAAAAGATAGTTTAATACTATAAACTTGAATAATTTAACTATATAAATATTTAAAGATACTATCAGAAATTAAAAAAGAAATTGAAAATTCACTTTAAAAATAAATATATGAGAAATTATATAATATTATTCAAAAAATATTTTATATTTATTAATTTGAAGAAGAAGTATTTGCTAATTAATTTGATTTTTTACTTTCAAGTTATTTTATTTAAAAAAAAGAAATATTAAAAATTATTACTTAATTTTTACAGGAGTAAAAATCTTTTGAAGAAGAACTAAATATTATTATAATAATATAAAATTCTTTAATTCCATAATCTTTTTTTAATTATATGAAATTCTATTTTTCTATAGTTTTATAATTTATTATATAATTATTTTTTATTTTTATTTAATTATATATTTATTTTACTTAATATATTTATCTATTTTTATTTATATCTTAGATATTATATTTTATTTCTTAACTTAAAAATTAATATTTTTAATTACTCATATTATAATAAGATTTACATTCTTATAAAATAATAATATTTATATTTTTATAAAATAATAATATTTATATTCTTATAGAATAATAATATTTATATTCTAATAAAATATTAAAATTTATATTTTTGTAAAATAATAAAATTATAAATTTTTATAATTAAAATATTTTAATTCTAAAATATATTAATATATATATTTTGATAGTATTAACTAATAATATTATAATAATCTATATATTTAAAAAATATATAAAAGAATCTGCTATTTTAGCTTGAAATAAATAGGTTTGAATTGAATTACTTGAAAAATATAATTAAAAAACTTATTATCTTAATAATAATAATCTTTTAATTTCTTTTTTAATTATATTAATACTCTTTCTCTTATTTAATTTTATTTTTTTGATTATATAAAGTTAATTTTAATTTGAATATAATATTATATTAATTTTGATTTGAATATTAATTTTATATTTTTGAGAGTAAAAATCTTTACTATAAATAACTCATACTCTTTTTGTTATTTATTTTGTTATTTACTTTAGTTTTTTATCTTTTTTTAATTATAATCTTCTTTAATTAATAGTAACTTTATTATTTAATTATTTTAAATCCTGAATTATATTTAATTAATAATAACTTTACTTATTAATCTATATAATTTTCTTTATATATATTATTCTTTCTTTTATAATTTACTCTTTTAAAGATAATATTTATAGATATTAATATTAATCTTAGAAATCTTTATTAGTATTTAAGTTATAGTATAATTCTCTTCTCTTATTTATTAATTAATTTAATATTATAAGCTATTACTAAAGATAACTTTTTAATTAATTATAATTTACAGTAATCAAATAGAGAGTTGTGATAGCTAATTAGAGAATTGTGATAAAGTTATAGCTAATTGTAACTTTTATCACTAGTTATTACTATAGAGATAGATTTTATCTGAGATATAGCTTATAATAAGTTTTGAGAACTAAGATTAAATTATTTATAATATTGTTATAGTGAATTAATAAGTGAATTTTTACTTGAATTCACCTTAATAATATAGAGTTGGAAGAGACTGAAATAATTAAAGAGTAAAGAGAGAGAAATTAGATTATAATTTTCAATAATGATAAAGATTTCTAAGATCTGTATTAATATCTATAGATATTATCTCAAAAAGAATAATTAAATAAATAAATAAATAAATAAATCAGAGAAATTACAAAGATTAACTGAATAAAATTACTAGTAATCAATATAATTCAAGA